TCTTCATCACCAAGGGCTGCATTTATATATTTGGATATTTATTGCCTCTTACATGCTCCACTACTTCAGGATTATTGCTTAATTAAACTTCAATTTACATTTTCTTAATGTTATTTAGGATGAATGTATCCCTGTCTTTGTTTATAATTTAGTTTTGTTTTATTTGTATTTGGGGGCTTGTGTTAGTAATTGTGTTTTCTCCCCTCTCAGGTTTCCTTTACTCTTCTGAGGCAGATTGTTCACTTTTTATCTGTTTCACTTTAGAATCTGCCTTTGCAAAAACCTCATCGTGAGTCACCAGGTGGTTAAAATGTGTTATTTCTCATGGAAGAGAAAAGTGGACATTCATTGATTCTGTGTGTCTCTGCAGTAAGCAAAGGTGGCACCACCACTCCAGAGCAGGTTCCAGTATTCTTGGAAGCTGAAGATCACACCCTTTAAGGCTTGAGTAGCTAGGATTTATGCTTATCTCATGCTATTGAGAACTGGTCCTTAGCCCGTGGCTGACAAAGAGGCAGCTAGCTGATAAGTAATTCTTTCATTTATGCAATGACATTAGTCTCAGCTGGATTCATTCATCCAGTTCAAGGACAAGGAGTGTTTTCAGAGGAAGTCCATGGGAGATCAATAAATAAATCTTTTCCAAGAGCAATGCAAGATTGCATCTCAGCAGATTTTCTTGTGGAGGTTGTGATCTGCCTCTTCAGAGGATTTCATGAACAGGTTGGACAGACGTCTCTCAGAGGTGATTAAGGTGAAGTCAAAGGGTGAGATTGTAGACTTAAATGAGCTCTGAAGAGTCCTCCGAGCTCTCTGTTTTTCATTTTTTGTAGTAACTGGTGGAGGCTCCTTAGATCCCAAACACCTCTGATGCTTAGATGCCTAGATAATTTTATGGATACACAGAAAACCAAGCTCCTTATATTATTAGAGTGCTTTGCTCCATTATTGTCTGATAAAAATACATTAATAGTTCTGAGCACAGGTGCCTGTCTCTTCCACAGAGTGCTATAGTCATGAAGCCCCAGAAGCTGGCCTCTTCCCCTTCTCTTGTTTCATCCCACAAATGTCTCCTATGCTCTGGGATGCACTGTAGCTCCACTTTGACAGGAGCACAGTGTTCCCATGCCAAACACCTTCTTGTCTGGCTGGCAGGAAACTCTCCTGCTTGTGGGTTTGACCCCCATGGCTGAGATGGGTCCAGAAGGCAGGTGTGTCAGACCAGAGCTCCAAAAGTTTTGCTATTCTCTGAGAACTGGGAACTAGAAAATAATATATTTATTATTTACCTGACGGTAGTCTTGATTTGTGGTTGATATTCATGTGTCCTTCACACAGAGCTCCCTTCCCTCCCTCACTCCACAGTCAGAAAAAACACCTTAGTTCTCAGTGTGCTTGGCCTTGCCAGAGGCTTGTCCTGTTGCTTGTGTTTGGGAATGTGAGTCTCATCGTATCATTAGAGTAATGAACCAGTTTTCAAATCCCCTGATTTCTATTTCTGCTTGGTAGCTAATTGCATTGTTAGGACAAGTCATGTAATATCAGCACTTCAGCTTTCTTAGCTGAGAAATGGGTAATACCTCACTGGGTGCTGAGGTAGAGCTAATTACAGTTCTTGAAAATCAGAGTAATGAAAAGAGGGCCTCCAACAGAAGTGCTGTGAGAGGGGAGACACAACCAGCTTTCTGCAGTATTGGGATGGCCAGTGGTTTCTCACAGCAACCAGCTTGTAGCCTGGATGGCCGTTCTGCCCCGAGGCTCTCTTCAGCAAATCCGGTGGAGGCAAAGCAATGCTTTCTCTTCCCTCTTCATGGGAAGCAGCAGAGCTGCAAATTCTTTCTGCCTGGATGCGGACAGATCGCTCTGTATTTATTCCTTCTTTGCTACGTACCCAAACACTCACGCACGGCATACACAGAACCAACTATGAAATTTGGCTCCTCATTTAAAAGCAGCACGCAAATACATAACATTATTACCTATCTCCTTTAAACCAAATCAGTGCTGAGAAAGAAAAACAAGCCTTTTGAAATAACATGGAAAGCACATGAATTTACCACTTGGCAGTAGTTTGGATTTTCAATAAAGGGGCTTTCATGGAAACTGGGACTGGGTTACCAGGAAGGTGCTGGAAATACACACACCTCATTCCAGTGTGTATAGCTTGTAACTGCTTCAGTATAGAGGTGACCTGCTAGTACTTAGTACTGATCATGCTTCTGGTAGGGCAGCTGGGATAGCTCAACACATGGCCATACAGCCAAACTCTCTGTGCCTACTCTACCGTGTCCATGCTGCCTACTGGGACCAGTTCCTGGCCCATGCATCCTGTGAACCATGTCTAGGAACTACTTGGAAGAGTTGTAGTTGGCGCAGACCACAAGTACAGTGGACAGTGTGATAACTACTGTGTGGTAGCTGCCTGCCGGTGTTCAAGACTGTGCCCTGTCCTGGTTTAGCTCACTAGTTTAGACAGAGCTATTGCATCTGAATAGGCAGCACACTGCTGGAAGGAGCCGCTGGACGCACCTGGGAGCCTGGCCAGTGCATTTCTCGAGTCTGATTTGAGTTCAGCGATGACTGAACCTGGTCCAGGGCCGGTCTCCAGAACTGCCTGGAAGAGGAGGGTCTGCAGCCCAAGGCATTAGCCAGGAAAGGCTTTAATGCAGAAGGCAGGTCCTGGTGCTGCGTCACAACTTCCCTCCAGCTTCCACATCCAGGACACAGGGCGGAAAAGCTGGAGAGGAGCTGTCCCACAGCACCGCACAGCAGTGCTGCTGAGGCGGGAGTGTTGAAGGATGTAACCAAAGCGCCTTTGGACCTTCTTCCCTCAGCCCCACTCCATAGAAAGTCCACCTGTGCACATGCACACAGGCTTAAAACCACCCAGACCTACAACTCCGTGTACAGAGACTCAGAGGCAGGCTTGTCAGGGGGAAGGTCGGCTGAGCTGGAGACTCACAAGCGCCGCTAGCTGTAGCAGCAGCTGCTTTTGTTGGGAGATCGGGAACTGAAGATACGATCAGGCTCCTTCCACTTAGTTTTGGAGAGTTGCCTAGTTTAGGCAGGTGGAGAAAGGCCTCGCACTAAAACTGGTGTCTGTGGACTGTGCAGAACAGCAGTGTGGCACTACAGTGCAGAAGTGAGGGTACGTAGCATTGGCGTCTCCAAGATGTGGTATGCACTGGAAAGGGAGAAGAGAATTGTGGTTGTCCTGCAGATCCTCACTGTGCGAGCAGCTCCCAGGCTTAGCACGTCCCTGCCATTGACTCCAGTTCTTAACCCGTAACCAGGAACACTTCTTCTTGATTCATGCAGTCCAGGTTTAACAGAAACATAAAAATAAATTTCAAATCACATACTCCACTAGAGAAAGTGTAATGGCTTGCACTGATTTTCAGCTAGAGTTTGGGTTCAGTGTGACTCATTAGATTATAAATTATACAACTTGTCAGCAGTCCTTTTCCCCACCAGCTCCGTGACAGTCAGTGGCATCTCACCAGGGACACCATTCCAGCCTTCAGCCACTCTGCTAGGAAATAGGATTTTACCTCCCGCAGGAGTTTTGCTTTGCTGCTCCCGCAGTAAATACCACAATCCAAATGGGCTTCCTTCATGCAAGCTGTGGTGGGCTGTTCTCCTGCAGAAACTCCCAAGGAGCCGAGCTTCACCCCATCCCGAAATCTTCTGTTCCCCAGCACACTAGTGGTGCTGAGCCAGTGGGATCTCCCGTAAATGCAGGTGTGGGAACAGGTTTTCCCCCTTAGTTTACTACACTGGCATTTCCTAATGAAGTACAGCTCTTCTGTGTGGTAAACAGAAGTCTCGCTGCCAATATGCTCTGCTTATGCTTAGTTCTTGGTACCAAAATTCTAATTACTAGACACCAGTTGTTCTTCTAAGAAACATTAAGTCAACACACATTTTGCATCTACAAATAAATGCTGATTGGTAGAAATAGCCATACCAAAGAGCACAAATAAACACCAGGAACTCTGTTTACAGTTAGCATGTTTTTATGTAAGTAATTACTTTAAATGTATGCTGTTAAAGATCACATTTTGTGGTACAAATGGCTTTTCAGCTATTGGAATCAGCTCCTGTTTCTCATTTCCAAATTTTTGAATATCCATTTCAGTGCCACTGGACAGTATTTCTCATGTAGTCTGCTAAGATTTCCCCCAGATGTTGTTAATTGCAGCATTCTTTCTTGGCTGACATAAAAAGCATTACTGAAATTTTAGGTTGTTTCTAACAGGGTCATATACACGGAAAACACGTTGAGTAAAAAATTGAGATATTACTTATTTTGAAAAACAATTTATCCTTTTATCCCATCACTACCCCACTTGGAGCCACATAATCTTTCTGACTGACATAGAAGATAATGCATCCTTGTTATAAGACATTAGGAACGGATGCTTTTATTAAGCTGACCTTGTTTTGCCCGTTTCAGGAGAATTTTGGTGGACTGCTATAAAATCATTTTGGAAAATACATGTGATCTTTGTGTTTGTTGCTTACACACTGTAAAACATAAGGCCTTTCTCCTACTTTGCCATTAAGAGAGTTATAGCTGGACATTTGATTAAGAAAACTCATTAGAGAAGCTCGGTGTTTGGAATATTATATCTGATGTGACCATTCAAATAAAGAGAATGAATCTGTATTTGAAACTAATGGCAAACATCTCTCCTTGGTACCTTGGATTTATGTACGATATTGTGGTTTTGTGAACTGTCTAGCTCAGCAAGTGGCACAGGGTTTGACTTAGGCAGATTTGTCACTTCTCATATTTAAAGATGTTACTTCTAAACTGTGTGGTTTTGATGAGAGGGAGAAGGACTTTTAGATCTTATTTTTCTAATAGGCCAAAATGAGAAGATACTGGCTAGGGACATGTGATGGTAAAGAGTCAAAAGTAAATTGAGTAAACTGACTGAATGCTATTTTAGACCACCATATGAAAGGGAACTTAAAATACTTTCTTCGATTTGCAGGAATAGACAATCTCTATGAGAGGGCTCTTCACATCCGCAAACTCCTCCTTACTTTGCCCAGGTCGGTCCTTATAGTGATGAGATACCTCTTCGCCTTCCTCAACCAGTAAGTGCTTTATCATTCCCCAAGGTACTATATCTTTATCTGCCTTCCTCTGCTGGTATTGAAGTTCTTTGGATTTACTCATACTCTATGTAGAATTTACATTTAAGCTCCATTTAACACAAAAGATGATCTTCTAATTGGCAAGGCAAATAGAAGGAGAACATCAGTTTTCATTGAAATTGTAATTCCATTTGTCCAAAACTGAGCAAGGTTGTAATAAGACAGATTAAAGTGTTGCCTGAAATGGGGACTGCAGGCTACAGCATTAAAGCTGATAACAAAATAAGCTGATAAGAAAAATAACAAATACAAACCGTAACTACATTAAAAATAATTTATGTAAATTAAGAGTAGATTTTTTTTTCCTTATTTCAAGCTGATTTTAATCTCCTGACGGGAAAACTAAACAGTATATTCAAGCAGCACAGGCACTACAAGCTACCTATTTGATGCCAGGCACTGCCAGGGTGATACTTTGTTACTGCTTCTATTTTCTGGTAATAGGGCTACCAGTATAGAGACCATACATCCCCTGTGTGTGCTTCGATATAAAGTAGCTTGGTTCTCACCTTGCAAAACACAGGCAGCTGCTGCACGGAGGGTTGTCTGAGAAAGGGAAAATGGCGTTCATGTCTTCATCATCCCAGAAAAATTTCATTCTCAAAGAGAAAATAAAAGACAGGTTGGGCAATTGCACTGTGTTTCTCCCTCCAGTCCTTCACAGCCCTCTCTGGTTTTGCTGACCCCAGTATTTTCACTGCACATTTTGCTTCTTGTGCACTTTGCCCTGCTTCTAGCTTTTCTCTTTCTGCTGCCATATTGTCTGTTTCCTGTTATATCTGTTTTCATATTGCCTTTTTCCTCTTTTTTTTCTAAATTTGCCCTCTGCTGATTCATTCTGTCTTTGTGACCTTCCCCATTTCATCCATCCTGTCTGTTCCTATAGAAACAGGGTCTTTGGAGCTAGGTTATGTGTACGTGCCTGTATTCACAGCTGTTCCCGTTTCCTTTCTTCTAGTAATTTCTGAACCACTTCCAAGCAATATTTAAAAGAAGGGAAGAGACCTAAAGTTTTATGAAAATAACCATTCATTGAAAACATGAATTTATCCCTCCATAGTGACACTGTGTAAATATCTCATAGGCTTATATCGCAGCTTCTCCTCTATTTAGACATACAGATTGGCCAGAGTTACACAAGGTTGTACTTGTTACGTGGTCATGTTAGCTACATCTGTGCTCTCCACAGGAATGCAATTCGGAAAGCAGACTAAATGTCCTATGCCTCCAAACTGCTCCTGGTGCATCCACAGGAAAAACATTCCCATAGTTTGACTTTCTGCAAGTCCAGTTCTGCTTTTTGCATATGTAGTTAGGCCTGCTTGGCCGCATGAAGTCATCAGACCTCATAGCTTGACCTCATCTGGTCTAACATCCTGCTCAAAGCTTGTAAAGTTAGATCAAGTTGCTCAAGGCTTTATCTTGACTTCATGAGCACCAAGTGGAAAGGGAATAATCAATTCCCTTGACCTGCTGGCTTTGCTCTTCCTAATACAGGCACATATGTAACTAGCCTTCATCGCTGGAAGACACGCTACTGAATCACATCCAACTTCTTGTCCAAGAAGTGCTTTTCCCAGTGCTTTTCCTTGGGAGCTGATATCTACCAGTCAGCTCCAGACTGTAATAATACATGGGATTATTTCACCCCACTGGCAGGACTTTGCATTCATCCTTGTTGAACCTGGTGAAATCCCTTTCATCCATTCCTCCATCTTGTCAAGGTCCTTCTAAATGGTAACCCTGCCCTTTAGCGTATCTGCTGTCCCCCACAGTGTGGCATCATCCATAAGGTGGTTGAGTGTGCACTCCATCCTGTTGTCTAGCCCATTCATGAAGATGTTGAACAGTATCAGCCCCAGTATTGAGCCCTGAGGAACACCACATGCTACCAGCCACCAGCAGAACTTCACGTTTCACGATTATAATCTTTTTTTACACATTCTTGCACACATGTAAAGGCTGAACCACCTTATAAATCAGTAGAATAAGATGTCTCCGATTAACACACAGGATATGATAATAAATCATGGCATAAGAAAGAGGAGAGCATGATTCATTTTACAAGCTACTTATGAATGGAGTCATTTGGAAGGTTTGCCTCTTCAGTTTGTGTTGTTTGTACATGTACACTCTATAAAATTCCCTTTCTAAAGGGAATATGATGCTGTATTTAAACATAACCAGACATACTAATTCATATGCTGCTTCAGAGTGCAGAACAGCGCTGAGGTAAAGGGCGTCCCAGTGGTGGCACTCTTCAGGTTCTGTTTGACTGGCCCTGCACAGAACCACTCAAAAGCCAGCATTTCCACTAGAAATGCCAATGCTTTTAAACAAGGGAATAAAGAGCAACTTTTCATTCAAAATCAAAATTGAAAACTAGTAATGTTGAAGTTTCTGGAGGAAAGGAGACCTTGCAAAAGTTGGTTAATAAGAACAATCAAAGTCTTGTGTTTGGTTGCTTCCAAAATAAAAGCCCTGTGGGAGTTTGTGGGCAGAAGGCAAGGCGCTCAGGGATTTTAGGTTGTATGGTAAAAACAGAAACCGGAAGTCACAAGAGCTTTTGCGAGATCCAGGAACTTAGCTACCTCCAGAAAACAATTCCGTCTGCCTAAGTTATATAGCCAGTTGATGGGAGAGGTGCATCAGGGTCTGATGAGAAATGATAAGCATGATCCACTTTGGATCCAGTCCACTTGGGCCTCCAAGGATAAGCACTGATGAGATAGAAGCAGCCGCAGTTGATGCATTTTACATTAGCCCATTAACTCAGTGTACAGTAAACAAGATAGTGTAGGAACATATACATCTACATACAAATATGTGCTATAAACTCACTTTATAATGTGTATAGCCTATTGAATAAATCCCCTTTTTTCATTTGTTGTGTTATGTGGGTTTAAGTGTCAAGGAGAACAGGAAATCTCTAAGTTGTGATGGCAAATAAAGTTTCTCCAGTCTTCAGAATAAGGTTAGTCTCAGTGGAAAAGTCAATTTTTCTTGATTTTTCTGTTATAACAGCCTTTCACAGTACAGTGATGAAAACATGATGGATCCGTACAACCTGGCTATTTGTTTTGGGCCAACCCTGATGCCTGTTCCAGACATACAAGACCAGGTGTCTTGTCAGGCACACGTGAATGAGATTATCAAAACTATCATCATCCACCATGAGGCTATTTTTCCAGATGCTAAAGAACTTGATGGCCCAGTGTATGAAAAATGCATGGCTGGAGATGACTACTGGTAAGTCAGAATATTACCCTTCTACCTCCTTAACAACATCATTAGACTGGTTGTCTGGATCACTCCTGTGATACAGAATGACTTTCGCACACAATAGAAGTATGAAGATAAATGAGAAGAGCATTTAGGTTCACAGAGGAAAGTGTTAGCTGTAAAAAACATGAAGCAAAGGCAATTATGATGAGGTTCACTACAACATTTTGTGGAGGAAGCTACCCTTGTGTTCAGCCAGAGGCAGCCAGAATTCCAGGTGTACTATGCAGAGCACACAGCCAGAAACTGGCTTTCTGACTGTGAAACGTCTTAACAAATTTCAGCTTATGAGGCCTTCCCCCTGCTCCTTTCCTCTCTTAGCAACACACACACCCTTTTCATGAATGAAAGGATTCAAAGGTTCTGGGAACTTCTTAATAATTGAAGATGTTTTCTGAAGGAGAGGTGTGTGGACTTCTTCAGTAATTGCGTATTCATAGCATGTCATGAGAATTATGTTGCCCATAGCTTTATAACATTATAAGAATAACTTTAAATAATCTCATGGGGGTGGCATATTTTTGATACGTGTGGAAGACATCAGTTACCCCCAGTGGACTGGGGAAGAAAGGGACTGGGGTTTAATGCCCACTGAAGCATCCATTTCATGCTGTGGTTTCTCTCTCTGCTCGACCTTTTATTTCCCTTCAGTGACAGCCCATACAGCGAACATGGTACATTAGAGGAAGTGGACCAGGATGCTAGTACAGAGCCCCATACCAGTGAAGACGGTATGTCTGTTACATTGCTGTGCCTTTGATAGGAATAAGTTTTACAGGTGTTTCATACGGGAGACCTTCTTCCTTTCCTAATTGTGTGTTATTTGAAAGAAGAGGATTTCAGTCCTGGTGGTCTGTAGCAAAGCCGGCTTCTTTAATCTCTGTTTGTGTGCTTTTTCATTCTGATTCATCTGTGTTTGACCAGCTGTTTCCTTGTTCTCTCCTGATTTGTCCAGTCACAGCAAGGGCAAGAGAGAAACTATTTCAGTCAGCACATATTCTTTTCTGATATAATGTTACATTTTTAGTGACTCTTTATCTTTTGTCTGCAAAAGCTAAACTTATCAAAAAGTGTGTCTTTAAAAATTTCAACTAAGGGATATTCGCCATTCGGTGGGCTCTATTTTGATATGAATTTAAAAGCTGTTCCATCGAAAGGATTTATAACTACTGAAGACCATGTGTATACCCCCCCACAGTGAAACTTCTGAACAATAGTCATTTGCAATAAATATTGATCACATATACTCTGACAGTTCTGGGTACGATAGATACCCATGAAAAAATTGATGCATCTCTGTTCTACCAATTCTTTTTAGCCAGGTTTCCTAAAGGTGTATTTGACTGACACACATTTCAGTTGGACCATCCTTCAGGTGTCCCTCCCAGTAACTTCTGCCCAGCTTCAAGCAAATGTAACAGATGGAAAGAGGTGTCAAAATTGTTAAATAACTACCATTTTCCTGAAATTAATAGCCCGTTAGAGGTGAACGATTAAGAATAACGGTCCCTGTAGAGAAGAGCTGCAGTGTGAGCTCGCTGCATATCTGGTCAGCAGGCAACCCAGACAGAGCAAGCAGCACACGTGCACTTAGCACCAGCATAAACAAAAGCTGTCCCTTGTCCACCTCAGAGGATGTGTGGAAGGAGGAAGAGGAAGAGACAGAGAGGGGGAAAGGGGAGGAAAAGAGCTACAGCAGAGAAGGAATTTCTTTTTTTAAAAAAAGGCTGTCGTAAGGGATACTGGTTAGGAGCTGGGACGATTGCCATAGGGGAGGGGAACAGGAAGGTGTATCTATAGGAAACCTGGCTACACTGGTCCCATTGCACACAGAACAATGTAAACAGTAGTTCCACTCTAGCTGTTCCCGTCCACTTTGTCACGTAGACAAGCTGTCAGTGACAGATTGCCTGTCTCTTCCCCTTTGCTGCAGTGAGAAGGGGCAGGCAGAGTCTATCAGTGCAGCTGTTTGGAGAGGAGGGACGGGTAGGCAAACATCACAGAAGGGGGAAAAATCTGAGGATAGGAGAGAAGTCAATGTTAATCTTCTGCCTGAGGTGTATACCCATGCCTGCACCCGCAGTATGGAATACCGACAGTTTTACAAGACAGCCTGTACGTGGGTTACTCTTGATGAGCTCTGTAGGGCTAAACCCACCGTCTTTATATAACACGGCTCCGCTAAATGGTGTGAACAAACTCATAATTGCACTTTATTTTTCCAAGACAGTATAACTATACTTTATAACAGCTCCTTCTTCCATTGGAGATATGAAGCAAGAGTGGAAGCTGAAGAAATCTGTTTGTCTCTCATTTAGAGCACAAGTAAAGTAGCGAAATGCAGGCGACACACCAGTTCAATATATTGGGGCCAACTTTGGGGTCCCATGACCAAAATGAGAGATAAAGGCCCGAGTGGGCATGGAAAAGAAGTGCAGCTTTTCAGCCGCAATCAAAAGCAGTTACTTCAAAACCATGCCTAGGAAAGATTAAACCATCAGCAAGATCCAGAGGATCCAGTTTTACATTCCTGTTGTGGTTCTACCTGTGTTACGACTGTATCATTGGTGGAGACAAACCCTGAAGAGAATAGCTGTCAACAGGACAGTTTTCTGTTAAAAGATTTAACTGCTCAAGACACAGCTTTTTGTTCACCAGATTGGCCAGCAGTTTAATTCTAGTTGCCTCATCGCACCTTTTTAATTAATTCAGTGCCGAAAGGAAGCAGACATTTGTGTTTACAGCAAAATAATTGTTAGCACAAAAATATTTGTAATCTAGGGAAATACTGCTGCAAAGGTAAAGATTAGCAAGCCTGGATCGCATACAAAACGCTGTTGGCCTTCGGTTCTCAGCCTGCAAGCTCTAACCCATTTTTTTTCCATGCTTTCCGTTATAATAGCATATTTTTTCTAATGTAGGTTACAGGCTTTAACTTAAATGCATTCACCATCTCTTTGCACATACATTCAGGTATTTGTCCTTTGGACAATTCCTTTTATAAAATGTTCTTGGTACCAAATATGACAGTAGGTGAGAATTTTTCGGTTTGCATATTGAACTTCATGAGAGTCACTGATTGACCTGTGGTGGACAAAAAAAGTTTCCACTAAAGAGTCTGGAGTATTTTGGGGGTTTAATGTGGTTGATTCATCGATTATAAGCTGGATGCATCACTGCCAGCTGTATGTGGAGAGAGAGAAAGGGAGGCGCAGCATTGCTGCTGTATTGATCAGACACATGGTACTTACCGTATTTCCCTCTCTTAGGAGGTGAAAGAAGCAGATTCTATAAACGTAATTTTTTTTTAATGGTGAAAATCTGATTAGTTTTGTGCTAAAATGTTGTATACGTACACAAGACCAAGCAGCTAACCGCATAGGAATTACAGGGTTATTGAAATGTAATCCAGAGGCTATGATCAAAAGTGAAAGGATTTATTTTTCTACTTTAGTTATTGTTGTTATAAGAATTACTTGCTGTATGAAGTTAAACTACAAGTGAATCTCTCTGTGCCTACTAGAATAAACCCATCTGTAGGGGCTGGCTCAGTAGCACTAGGAATGTTTAATTACAATTTAGAAAACAAGAAGACTTTTTAAAAATTAAAAAATAAATAATGTCTGCAGAGGTAAAATCTGGTAGCTTGGGGAAAAGAAGGCTGAAACTTATAATTGAGCATATAAATACTTCGTAACTGGTTAATTTTAAGCATATAAATTGCCTTTTTTTTTTCTAAGGTTACTGGTGTTCATATATTTCTGTCGATCACTAGAAAGGGGAGAGGGAAGGAGATGCATTTTACTGTAGTGTTTTCAGTCTTTTTTAAACGTGCAGAAAGTATCCCTACTAAGGAAAACACATAAGTTTCTTCTTTCTCCTAAATCTGGAAATGAAATTTAATTTGTGACGTTCAGAACATTTCTACTCAAGCTGAGGCACAAAAAAAAAATCTGTCTGTAATTTTGCTCCAGCAAAACCTTTACCTGAAATTGCCTCTGCAGTAAAGATTCAAAGGGTATTGTTCATGTTTTGCTGAAGCAGTTTTTAGCATATTTCCTCTACCTTTAGTTTGCTGGAGGTTTTTTATTCTTGTTGGAGGCGTATGGAAAAGGGTGACTAGGTTTGTTTTCAAAGGAAGTAAGAGAGAGTTTCCTGAGGAAGTTAAACAGATGGGTTTCTCCTGGGAAAACTTACATACAATTAATATCATACTGTTCATAGATACCTCATAAACATAGGGTAAAAATTGAGATGGTAGTTCTGCTGGGAACAAAAATTACAGGGACACGTAAGGCTATAAGTTATTGTTGTGTCCCCAACACACAGTGATTTTCCTGCTTTTCCGTAGCGCATGCTGTGGTCGACATTTTGCCAAATTCTGTTCTGTCAACATCTTGCAACACTTTTTTGCTTTTGCTGTTCCCCAGTCAGAGAACTGCTGTCCTGAGGACAGGACTTTGAAGTTGCAGAGCCGCTGTTCTCTGGTGGGGTGCAGAAGAGGATAAACACACCGGGAGATAGCGTCTTCCCAGGGAGTTCAAGGACGTACTCTATTCCCGACAGCCAGGGTACGTCTGGGAGAACTGAGGAAGAGCAGAGCAGAGCAACAGCAAACCCCCCCCAGAAAAGTGCAAGGGGTGATCTCCCCTCTTCTCCTTAGCTCCTCGTGCCCTGAGGTGTAGAGGGCAGCGCAGTGCCACTTCAGTGCCATCACCTCTGTAGGGAGGTTAGTACTACATCTGGCACTCCAATCCCAGAATTAAAATCAGCACTTATGTTTCCTCTGCCCTTTCTGCTCTCCCAAGCTGTTGGATCTGGACAGCTCTACTTGGCATCAAACCTTGGTTTTCAAGCACACTGCAACATAATGTGTCGTCAGATGGTGGTAGTAATTGTAATGAACTTTGGGGGTCGTAAGTAAAAAAGTGAGAACAGAGCTAGATGATTAACAGAGTCCCTAAAGCTTTTCCCACAGTTCTTCAGTTTGTCCTAATTTTTCACTTCCATATCATTGCCTGAGTCACTAGAGATGATAGCTGGTGAGATCCTCTATGTCATCAAATACTTCTTGCTATTGTAGGCGAATGCCCCCAGGTATGGACAGAGCAGTGCAATTACATTTCCCTCCAAGCTGTCAATTTTACTGTTAGACATTCAGTACCACACAGAATTTGAGTTACAGATCCCAAATTTAGCTTTCATCACCTTTGCTTTTCTGGAAATGCTTGTCTGTCATTCAGTAACCTTGATATTAAATGATTTAGCTTATCAAAATGCATTTATTTCTAGGAGTAACTGTCATGGTACTTTGGTTTTGACTATTAAGGCTTGACCTGTAACAAGGTGAATTACTATTTAAGTACAGTCTCAGTGCTGTTTGCTATAGGAAAGTTCTCTCCATGTAAAAGCAACATTCAAACAAAGAAAATGCCCTTTTCAAAATAGAAAAACCTGTCTGAACTTATTTTTGGTTCTATTAAGAAAACTGTGTGAGATCTACGGGGCACTCCTCCCTGAGGAGGTAGGATTTGTTACCCAGGCAATCTAATGAACATGTCTCAAAAGTCACATCCATTATGGGTACATTACCAATTCATACAGCTGGGGCAACTTCCTTCAGACCTCTGGGAACGTATGTGAGTCTTGCAAGCGACGGAAGGGTACAAAAAAACAGATTCCCACCATGCACCACACTTAGATTAGTGTAATTCCACTGAGGGAGATAGAACTATTTCTAGTTTAGTCCATTAATTTGTAAATAAAAAGACCTGTATATTCAAATGTGGGATACTATATGGTCTGTTGAAATTAGCAGAGAAACGGGAAATCCCATAGCTAATCAGTGTAGGCGTTTATCAATTAATCCAGTACCCATGACCATTACCAGTTAACTTCAGAGAACATCAAAGGAAAATATGTACAGGAAGTTTGGGGGTTTCTTACTTACTGTAAAGGTTTTTTTGTTTGGTTGGGGGTTCTTTTGCATTTTAAAGTATTACCCCCTAGTGAGTGACTGGCTTGCTGAAACCTGGGAGCTTTGCTTTTGAATTCATGACCCACTCTTCCATAACCCATAACTTACCTGCAATCTGAGAACAGTGTGTTCATACAAACATCTGCTCCTTTTCAATCCTACCCGATCCCAGTAATACCTTCTTATAATAAATTCTGCAAGCAACGTGCATGATATGTGTAAAAACAGCGTTCTTTTGTCGGTGTTATGTTATTGCCATTCAATTTAAAATTGCCCTCTTAAAGACAATGCCAGGTAAACAGGCATGTTTAGTTTTCTTTCTTTTCATTTGGCAATAGTGTCTTTCCATGCCTATAGTCGCTTTGTCACATCTGCACTTTCTGTTAGAGATATACTGTAGATAGAGTATCTAGAAATGAAACCAAGATTGTATATTAGAATATATCACTAATACACACACCAGCATTAAAGTTCTCCCGGTTTTCCACAATGTTTCCTTCTGTGTCATCTTTACTTTTTCTTTGCTTAAAAACATAAAACCAAGAAACCTATCACCCGGCACCCACCCACCAGGGAATGCCTGCCAGCGAGCCATCCAGTAGCAATGCATTTTCAGGAATTAATACTGTTATTGCGAGATTCTTATTTGCGTTTATATAATCGAAGTCATTTCTGCCAGCGTACATTACTTTTGCATTTGTAACAGTGAATTCCCCGTACCACCATATGCCATCTCTGGAAAGTTTCTGGGTTTGTAACTCCTAAACACCCTGCAGTTCGTCACTGCCGGGAGCTCTTAGCGTGACTGCAGGAGCAGCAAACCACAAGACAGCCTTCTGCAGGCTGGGCAAGTTATTAAAAAACCCATCTGCAAACTGTAACTGCAATAAAGGTGCTATCATTATGTTTTCATGCTGCAGGATGAAGTTAATTTTAAAAAGACATACCTGTGCAAAATGTTGTCATAAAGGGACAGTGGCTTTTATTACCAGCCTGGTTCTTTGGGGAATTACAACCTCAGCGATTTTAATTTGCACCAGACAGAAAGTTGCTATGCTAGTCATTAGCACAGATGTTAATTTCCATCTAAATATTGCTCCAATTATGTGAAGAACTTTGTCATTTCGGGGACTCTGAGTTATTGAAGTCAACAAAGTGTGCAATTTTTAAACCTGTATTTTGCAGGTTTTTCTTTCTGTTTTGAGACTGCGGTGACAAATTTTAATCTGTTTGAGCTCAGGTGCTTTTGGTTTCATGCAGAAGAAGCTAGAGGTTGTTAAAACGACAGCTGTTTCACTGATGTCCGGGCACAGCTCTGAAGATACCTGCAGGCAGACTTTCAGGAGGGGCCTTTCACTGACATCAGTAGGTTTCCGACCCAGGCATAGGTTACAGGATGGAGTCCATCACCAGCGTAAGGCTGAATTTACCAGCGTACTGACGGAAGACTAGCAGGGACTGCTGTAACCAATGTTTGACTTCAGAAAATACCAGCCTCCCCGCAGAAACCGGAAGAACTTGGGATGCTGGAGCAGGCAGAGCTGCCTTAGGCAACTTCAGGCCACACAAGGGACTGCCCCTGCGGAGGGGTCGTCCTTAGGCAGTCTGGAGCAGTCTGCCTCCCTCAAAAAGGGTGTTAAGGAAGCAGATTAAAGCACTAGGTTTCGATGATGTGTAAAATACTAGGATTTCACTAGGTCTGCACACTCGTCACGTAAAAGACAGAAATCTCATAGCCCAATTAGGCAGAGCATCCCTACGCATGCACAGGGAAATCCTGCCTTCCTTCCTTTGCCACTGCAGATTTTAAAGGCACTCCGGTTTACGTTTCCTTTATCACACCGCTTCCTCAGACCTCTGATTATTCATCTGGGTTTGTTCATCTTATTTTCGGAGGTCTTCATTGCCTGGCCTCCATCCCACTCCCCAGCCATGAAGGAGCCCTTGCAGCAGGAGGCAGAGGCCTCTCTCCCAGCAGCAGCTCTTGTAACATTTGAGTAAGCTGTTATGTTTTCTGCAGCTTGCAAAGCAACCCAGATGTTTCACACTTGGGGCACAGATTGATTATGTTTCTGTGTAAGGGACGTATTATAACTACTGCCTGAAGCCTGCCTTAGCTGACCTGATTTCTGTCAGCTCGGCTCAATAAGAATGAGCACTGAGAAAATGCAATAAATGGGTTTTATGAAACCAAAATGAGCAGATAAGCTGGTATGGAATCTGATACAGAGTCTTCTTCCCTCCCTACACAGAGTGCGAGCCCATAGAAGCTATAGCCAAGTTTGACTACGTTGGAAGATCTGCACGAGAACTCTCTTTCAAGAAAGGAGCTTCCCTTCTGCTCTATCACCGAGCATCTGAAGACTGGTGGGAAGGAAGGCACAACGGAATTGACGGCCTTGTCCCTCACCAGTACATAGTGGTGCAGGATATGTAAGCAGTGTCTGGTGTGGCTAGGGTCTTGGTGGGGTGTAAAAACATGCTGAATCAATTAACAAAGTGATTTCTAAACGGGACAGTGGTTTGAAAGCTCAGATAGGTTAAACATTTAGCCTTCTAAGCAGGATGCCTCTGTCTTCATTGCCCTGAATTGACAGCTCTTAATGAAAAGCTACTACTAGACTAAGCTACATTGTTTATGGATATGTTCCCAGTACCTTAAGAGACAGATGCTGCTGCACCTATTTTAATTTGACTATCTCTTTGTAGCAACTGCTGACATTTAACTTCAGAATAGCAAGGGCTGGAGAAATGCAGCCCTGAACTCTTCTTTTACAGTATTAAGCATGTGCTTTGCCAAGGAAGAAAAAGTTCTTGTTTACAGAAAGGTTACGTCAAAATGTAAAGAGCTCAGTAAACAGAAGGATTATAAGCCATTTTTGGAGACGTGGAGGGGCTGTAGTGCATTATAACATGTCTGCTTTTCTTAAGGGGATTAAAATCTGGGAGTGCCAAGATGCTCTCTGTCACACCTAACTCACTGACTTCTCATCTCACCGTGTGTGTTCTGTTCAGGGATGATACTTTCTCAGATACACTGAGCCAAAAAGCAGACAGTGAAGCCAGCAGCGGACCTATAACTGAGGACAAGTCATCGTCAAAGGACATAAACTCTCCCACTGACCGTCACTCTGACGTGTATTTAGGAAGGTAAGCTTGAGCATAATATGTTTTCAGTAGTACTGCTCACAGCTCCGGTAACACAGCGATTACTTCTCCATGTGCTTATGGTGGGTCGCTACAACTTGTCCTATAACTGCTTCTTCATTGGTGCAGGCAAAGAAAGAGATCAGAACCTCCACCTCCTCTAAGACGCCCCGGCAGGAGTAGTGACGGTCACTGCCCAGTACACCCACCTCACCCTCTCTCCAACTCGTCCGTGGAGCTAGGTTCCCCTAACCTGGCAACTCACTGCAGTCCCAGAGCCCTCCTTCAAAATCGCAACCTCAATGCCGACAGCCCTGAAAGGAGGCGTAGACCTGGACACGGCAGTCTCACTAACATCAGTAGGCACGACTCTCTGAAGAAGATCGATAGCCCTCCAATTAGAAGATCTACATCATCTGGTCAGTACACAGGTTTCAATGACCATAAACCACTGGACCCAGAGTCAATAGCTCAGGTTTGTGTCTTTTTTATTTTACATCACTCTCTGATTTTCTGAGGAGCAAGTCTCAGTGAATAGCACAGCGCAGAGCACATACACTGAAGGAGTGTGCGTGCAGGAGAATATCCTGCTTAGCTTTTTAAACAGAGTGCGTGTGAAAGAAGATGCATTAAGGGATCCTGGATAGAAGAAGCACAAGGGGGAATAGACATTGCAGTAGCAATAAAAAGAAATTATCTCCTGTTATACCATAATGAAATTGCCTCTGCCACCCAGGACACTAGGAGAGTATATGATAACAGCGGCTATGTAAATCGGTGTGCTCTGATGAAGGCTGGCCTATTCTAACTTGCACGTAATTAGTGCTCAATTGTCTCTCGGTATTATGCTTTGCAGAAAAGTGCTCTGACTGGCTAGTAGCGACCAGTGCCATTCAAAGCACAGATTTACATTCCAGGGTCTTGTGCATTTTACATAGTTTTCATATAGTTCATACCGTATGTTGATTTGATGCTTGTAGCTGTGCCTAAGAGCATGATGTGCAAGACATTGCACCTGCATAAATCATGGGCTGTCTTATCGCTGTGTGAGTGCTCACCGGTCTCATTCCTGGCAGTGAAGAGGTGAGAAAGGTGGAATTGGGAGCACCCCGATCATCAGATTGGTCTGCTGTACAGAGCTGGTAACAGCTCTTGAGCAAATAGATACCGCTGTCTTCAGCACTCGCGTTTTGTCTAGGTAGTATAACATGATTACTAGGGGCACCCTGAGGGTACAATGTGATTGCAAAAGTATTTTACAATAAAGCTGGCACTCATGTTTTAAAATTTAATGTACTGGTGATGCTTGCTTTCAAACTCTGCTTCCAACGAGGGATAGAAGGGACTGTCATGCTTGGGTCAGAAAGCTGAACCGTGTATTAGAGAGTTAGAAAGTGTAAATGTTGTTACTGTTTTATATTACTGTAAGTTATTTATTTACTTTCCTGGAACCACACACAGTGCTGTTTGGTTTAGGCTATTTTTTTGATGCATAGACTAGCGATCGTTCGGCAGTGAGCGAACCCAAACGTTGATTAAACTGCATGAAAGTTACTGTGAGCAAGCAGGGAACACCAGATACTTAACCTCAGTTGTATCTCAATACCACTGAAAAATAGTAACCTAGTGTCTCTGCATTCTTTTAGCATTTGTGCCAGAAATCCCAATGAAAAAAATAATTTCCTAGGTAAGCTCACTGAACAGTGTCTTGCAGTTTTTTCTGCTTAAAATTTAACTCAGAGAAACAGGAGGAGAGAAAAGCTGCTAGACAAACAAGCTTTATTTCCTTACAAACCCTGGTTTATAATCCCCGTGAGGGAATACAGATCCTGAACAGCTGGGGCACTAGATGAGGGGAGCAGTCAGCTAAGAGGTAGCAAATGGACTAAAAACTTTACAGCTGTCAGTACCCAAGAGATGACAGAAATCTTCACGGTTAAAAATGCTGCTAAGCAAATATCCATTGTGCTGATAATCACTTAATAAAAAGGCTTGCAGGTTTTAATTTAATTGATTTTTTTTCCATTTTTTAGATGAATTTTGACTCTCTCATGTGAACAAGTTAAATATTTGCAATATCCAGCCAAAGCTGCTATCTTGTCAATCGTAGTGTCTTTCAAATAAATCTGGTGGAAATTGGCTTTAGCACTATAATACTCGTTAAAGAGAGGATGGTTGGCAAATTAACTCCTGCACGTTTCACCCCCTCTCCCTGCTCCTCCCGTGCTTTGCGTTCAGTGGCAATTCGAATGACGTGCCGCTCTCTCTGTGCTCTGACCCAGGACATCGAGGAGACGATGAACACGGCGCTGAACGAGCTCCGTGAGCTGGAGCGGCAGAGCTCGGCGAAGCACGCCCCCGATGTCGTGTTGGACACCTTGGAACAAATGAAAAACACCCCTACCCCTGCCACCTCCACAGAGTCGCTCAGCCCTCTCCACAGCGTCGTTTTAAGGAGCTCCGAGCCTCAGATCCGCCGTAGCACTAGTTCTTCCAGTGACACCATGAGTACTTTCAAGCCCATGGTGGCCCCTAGGATGGGAGTGCAGCTGAAACCTCCTGCTCTTAGGCCAAAACCTATTGTTCTTCCAAAAACAAATCCTAGCATAGGGCCTTCCCCTCCTTCCCAGGGTCCAGCTGACAAATCTTGCACAATGTAGACAGCTCAGCCACCCACAGTGCCCGGCTGGGGTATGCTAGGGAAAGGGATGGATTAACAATAGAAGTCAGGGCTCCGTAACATCGTTTGTTCATGTTTGTAACTGGAGAGGCTTTGTTTTTCAGTGTTTTTGAATGTATTGTCTGAAACTAGCTACATTAACATGGGCATTTGTATTTTGTATGGTTTCAATTAAAAGAAAAACTGGACAATTGTGCATCGTTTTAAAAAACAAACATAGACTTACTTGAAAACTTGATGCTGCACCATTTGTAATAAAAACAACACGGATCACAAACAGCTTGCCATGTTGTACCATACTTCACAGTCTTACCATAGCGATATAATAACAGATCCTGCACAAAACTAAGGGGCGGGGGGGTCAGGGGAGGTGGGACTTCTCATTTCTGGGTCACTAAACCAAATCTCAAGCAGGTTAGTAAGAGCTGAAAACTAGCATGTGAGGATTAAGTGTCTGTGTGGAATGTCTAAGTCATCTCAGGCCACATTTCTTATTTAAGACACACCAAAAAAATCCACCAAACCCTCGCAACTCTCACAATTGGCACCGCGTTTTAGCTTTCTTGTTGGCAGTCTCACAAGAGACAAGCACTGGATGGATCTGGAGATCACATTGCTCTCACCGACAAACAGCAGCATTCCAGATCACAGCTGAAGCACATCTCCAGGATAGTATCTAGAAACTCCTTTTGCTGTCCTCTGTAACAGTGTACCTTTTCCCATGAAGCTAGACCTTCGTTCCCTGATACCACATTTTCCACAAAAGCTAAATTCATTTACAGTTCATAGTTGAGCAAGCCAGGCTCTGGGGAGTATGTGAATCTGTTGGTCCGTTAGGCAGGCCGACAGGCGATTAAAAGGATCAACTACACTAATTCAGCAAAGTATCCATTGACTTTATTGCTCGGTGTCCAGTTAAAGACATGATTTGAGTTGTAACAGTCAGAGTTTCGCACTGACCCAGCTCCGCTGGCTGCCTTGCACAGCGCAGACGCTCTGCGCACGTCCTCGGTTACGCTGACGGCAGCAAGACAGGGACTCTCTGAAGAGGGACCACCTCCTGCCAGCGACGCGGGGGTCAGTCGCAGGACAGACAGCTGAGTTCCTACCGCCTAGATTCAAGCTGGTGAAAGTTTTCCATAACCACTTCCCCCCTCTTCCCCTTTTTTTTTAAATGACAGAAATCAGTACCTTTCTTTTGTCTGTGTGAGTGACGACTGTCAACTTTGCTTAGCGCTCTGTTGTTAAACTTTGTTAGGCGTGAACTAAATGTACAGCTGTTTTGCACATTGCAACAGTAAGCCATAATATTATTTCTGTGACTACATTTTCCGACATCCGATCCATAAAATAAGTTTCAGTGAAGAAGACGGGGGAAAAAAATCCATTGTGGTCCACCTACAGGAGTACAACTGGCTTTAAGTAAGATCTGTCTTTCCACGTATTATTTAAGATCTCACCGTTGGAAAGCTTGAAGTTGTACCACTCGCTATACGTAAACAACTGAGTTTGGGAGGGGAAGAGTAGTGACAAAATTGGATAGGCATAATTACTGAGGTGACAGGAGTAATTTCCTGTTGTTATTTAGGAGCAACTTATTCCTGCTCTGGTTTACACCCTGTAGATAGGTCATGCAAAGCCCCAGGTGCGAAGTACCCCGTGAACCGCCTCTGAGAGCCAAGCTGCTCCCGGTATTTGCAAACCCATCTCAATCCAGCCGCAGCCTTCGTGTGCATCTAGGTTAGAGGCAAAGTCTTAATCCACCACAGCGGGCTGTGCAGTGTCGGTCAGTGAACCTCCAGCCCTCTCGACTCTACTGCCTAGTCCTAACGCCAGGGCAAGAGCCTCAGCCCCAGCCGCAGCCCAGCCCTGGTCTATAGGGTCTGTTCACTTGGTCGGGACCAGAGATATTTTCAAGTCGTTCCCCAATTTACTAGAATCAGTGGAAGAAACTGGAATTTCAGCTTTACATTTACATGCAGTTTTAGTCTAGCATTTTTAAATTAACCCACCTGGCGTAATTGAGATGGATACCTGTATCTTTAAATTGCATAGGGAATTTTGTATGTTTAAATAACTGTACTGGACTCCATAATGCTTATATTAGAAATTGTTTAGCAAAAGAAAATATTAGAAACAGTGCATTTAGTGAATGCATCCACTTAGTGCATTCACACAGTTAAATGTGTAGTTTGATGGTTATTATAGATACTTAAAAGTATAGTAAGTGGATATGTAACAGGAAAGACTGCTACAACTACAGACGTACTAAAGGGTAACTCCTGCACACCTAATCCAATCAGTATTGTCCTTTACTGTCAAGTTTGATAAATTGCAGTACTGGTAGCTTCCTGCTTGTTGACTGTTACCTAATTGTGTCAATGTACATCTGTAGTATGTACATGTGAAAGTGCCTTTAAATTTTAGAGGAGCTTTAGCCTTGCTCTTGTACTGTTGCATTTCCATTGCATCCTTCCCTGTTCGTGTATGGCTGCATTCCCATTGCATTCCTTCCACTCTCGAAGAACAAATAAAAACATGGAAATTTCACGGTTCTGGAAGAGAAATGTACTGTTAATCTGTTGTGACAATGCACTTTTATGTATAGTACTGTACATTTTTGGCATGTACCATTACAAGCTTCAGTATACATTCAGGTTTGTTCCTCATAGTGTATCTTTATAATAAAGAAGATAGTTCTGTCTGTGCGTGTAGCTTTGCTGGGTAAACTGCCGTATCTTCTAACGTGGGTGGCCAATCTACCTATACCTTCCACATAAAGGGAGAAAGCATCCCCCAGCCACCCACACCTCACCCTGCATCAGGTCCCATCACCGTCTTGGCCTGAAGAAGTGCTTGTTCCCGGACAGGATCCTACCTAACTTAAAGAGCACCATCCTCATAAGCTCACCCAAGTCCCTCCGCCCCTGAAGACCCCCCCCCAAAGAGCCACCAATCTCTCGCGCGGTTCTGCCTGAGCACCCATCGAAGGTGGCCAACCCCGCTCCCCAGCCCCCCGCCACCACCCTCCTGCTTCGCGCAGGAAAAACGGGGTGAAAAGAACACTCCAGCTTCCACATTTTAAAAGCATAGTCCCAGAGTGAAAAGAATAAAAGGAGTCTACCTGGGGAGCTTCTTACAGCAGAAAAAGGGATGCCAT